AAGAAAAAAAGATATCAAATCAGTAGCCTAACTCAACAACTCCAGGAGCTACAAAGATAAGCCTAAACTTATCTGTGAAAAAAGGAAGTAACAAAGATCAGAGCATAAATAAATAAAATTGAAAACAGAAAAATAATAGAGAGAATCAAGCAAACCAGAATATGGTTCTTTGAAAAGATCAATTAAATTGACAACCTTTAACTAGAACTGACAAAGAAAAGAAAAGAGGTAAATGACCAAAATGAAAGGGAGGGACATTACAACTGAGCCTATAGAGAGGAAGAGAATTATGGTAGAATATTATGAGCAACTGTATGGCAACAAACTAAATGGACAAATTCTCATAAACCCATAACCTGTCCAAACTGAGTCATGAGAAAATATAAAATCGTAACAGACACAGAACAACTGGAAAGATCAAGTTAGTGATCAAAAACATCCCAACAACAACAAAATTCCTGGGCCAGACAGCTTCATTGAGGAATTCTGCCATTTAGAGAAGAATTGTCACCAACACTGTTTAAATTCTTCTAAAAGACGGACAAGGAAGGAATGCTCTGTAGTTCACGCAATGAAGAAAATGTGATCCTGATACCAAAATCAGGAAAACACCACAAAAAGTAAAAATACAGGCCAATATCTCTTATGAACTTGACGCAAAATCCTCAATAAAATACTAGTGAGTAGAATCCAACAGGATATTAAAAGAGATATACAAGTGGAACTTATTCCAAGAGTGTAGGGATCATTCAACATTAGAAAATCAAACAGCATAATATACCATATCAGTAGAACAAAGGAAAAGAACATATAATCATCTCTATGATGCAGAAAAAGCATTTGATAAAGTCCAAGGAGCTCTGGTAGCATAGTGGCTATGAATCGGCCTGTGAACCGCAAGGTCAGCAGTTTGAAACTACCAGCTGTTCCATGGGAGAAAGATGAGGCTTTCTGCTCGCATAAAGATTTACAGCCTCAGATACCCTGTGCAGGGTCACTATGAGTCAGAATCGACTCGACAGCACTTAACAACAACAACAACAATCCCCTTTTATGATGAAGTCCCTAAAGACGATTGGAATAGAAAGGAAATGTCTCAATATAATTCAGGGCATATTCAGCAGCCAACATTATACTTAATAGAAAAAGGCGGAGAGCTTTCTCTCTGAAATTGTGAACAAGACAAGCATTCCTGCTCTCACTAATTCTATTTAATATTGTATTAGAAACCCTAACTGAAGCAATAAAAAAAGAAAAAGAAATTAAAAGTATCTGAATTGGAAAAGAAGTAGTAAAATTATTTCTATTCGTGGATGATATGGTACTACATGTAGAAAATCCCAAAGAGTTCACAAGATAACTTCTAGAGCTAATAGAAGAATTTCACAAAGTTTCACAGTACAGGGACAACAAATAAAATCTGAAAGAGAAATTAGGGAAGTAAATTCCATTACATCTTGTTGTTGTTGTTAGGTGCCATCAAGTCAGTACTGACTCATACCGACCTTATGCACAGCAGAAGAAAACACTGCCCGATCCTGGGCCAACCTCACTACTGTTGCCACGCTTGAGTCCATCGATGCTGCCACTTGGCCAATCCATCTCACTGGGGGTCTGCCTCTTTTTCTCTGACCCTCCACCTTACCAAACATGATATCCTTATCCAGCGACTAGTCCCTTCTGGCAATATGTCCGGAGTATGAGAGACGAAACTTGGCCATCCTGGCCTCCAAGAAGCACTCTGGCTGCACTTTTTCCAAAACGGATCTATTGGTTCTTTTGGCAGCCCATGGCACTTTCAACATCCTCCTCCAACGCTATAACTCAAAGGCATCAATTTTTCTATGGTCTTCCTTATTCACTGTTCAGTTTTCACATGCATGTGAGGTTATTGAAAATACCATGGCTTGGGTCAGGCACACCTTAGTCTTCAAGCTGACAATAGTATCTAATAGAATAAAATACATAGGAATAAATCTAACCAGGACTTATATCATGAAAATTATAAACTCTGCTGAACGAAATTAAAGAATTCAGTGGGAAGATCTACTATGATCGTAGATTGAAATACTTAATATTGTTAGGATGTCAGTACTACCCAATGCCATTTATAGATTCAGTGCAAGCCTGATAAAGATTCCAACAGCCTTCTTTACAGAAATAGAAAAACCAATCCTCAACTTTATAGGGAATGGTAAGAGGCCCTGAAAAGATAAAAGAATGCTGGAAGAGAAGAGCAAATTAGCAGGGTGCACTACTTGATTTTAAGAACACCGTACAGCCACAGTAATCAAAATAGCCTGGCACTGGTATGACAATAGACACACGGACCAATGGAATAGAATTGAGAGTCCAAAAATAAACCTACACATCTGTGGTGCTGTGGGTCAACTTGCTCGACTGCAAAGCTGATTTGAACCACAAGGTCGACAGTTCAAGCTCACCAGCCACTTCTTAGAAACCCTATGCAGAGTCGCTATGGGCTGGAACTAACTCGACAGCACTTAACAACAACAATCTATGGTCAACTGAGTTCTGACAAGTGTGCTAAAGCTCATTTGATGGGGAAAGAAGGGTCTCTTTAATAAATGGTGCTGGGAATATTGGATTTCCACATGCAGAAAAATGCAGGGTCCTTGAGCTTCCATACACAAAAACAAACTCAAAATGGATTAGAACCCTAAACGTGCAAATTAAAACCATAAAATTCTTAGAAGAAAAAGTAGGGGCAACATTGCCAGGCCTTGCTGTTAATGATGGATTATGAAATATAATAACCGAAGTGCAAACAGCAAAAGGGGAACTCCCCCAAATGAAAACCTTTTGATTATTAAAAGCCTTTGCCAAAAAATGTGGAATCACAAACTCCCCACTGGGAGAATATCTTTGGGAACTATATATATCCGATAAGAATCTAATGGCCAAAATATATATAAAACATTGACACCTTTACAAAAGACAGACAGATTACCCAATCATAAAATGGCTGAAGGACTTGAGTAGACATTTCACCAAAGAATACATTCAAATAGCCACCAAACACAAAAGGATACTTACGTCATTAGTCATCAGAGAGATGCAAATCAGAACCACTTTGAGATTTGGGTGCTGGGCAGGGGTGCAATACACAAGGAGGGGGAGGAAAATGAAAGAACAAGGCAGTTGGGAGAACAGTTAGGCAGGTTCGCATGGACTAAGTGGAACAGAGGTAAATAATGAAGTATGCTCAACCTTGGAACAACAGGGCTCTGGGATTCAGGGATTGAGGCATGGTTGGAATGGGTCAAAGGGGGGGAATAATGTTAAGATGCTTGGCTGTCTTTTGAATCTTGGCTTCCCTTGCATAACATTGTAAAATAGACACTTGATGGGGAGAGAAAGGAATAGCCAGAATTATCACCATAGAAAGCACACAGCTTTCGGCCGGGGGGGGGGGGGGGGGGGGGGGGGGGCCGGCAAGCTTGTAGGCTTGCCCTTAGGTTGTTTAAATGGTTGTATATTCCTGAGTACTTCAGTGTACATAAAAAAAAACACAAAAAAACCTCAGAGTGAATGGAAGCATATGCTGTTGAATGATGATGCATGGAGGGGATTGTAATCATAGAGATGAAACAAAATACAATAGGATGACTGTAAAGCTAATGTTCTCCCATGTAAGCTATCACCCAATTCACAATAAAAACTTAAAAAAAAAATTTCATTACAATTTTTATCTGCCCTGCCTCATTGCTTATTTTTAAAATCAAATTACCGTTAAACAGAATGAAACATAATGTCCTAATTTGGTTAAAAATCATATAAAGTGGTTATAAGTGGATAGAGTGAAAAAAAGAACAACAATGATACACAGATAAGAATAAACTAAAGAGATGCATTTGATGACTTCTAAGTAAAGCCCAGGTACGGCACTGTGGGTTAATGTGCTGGACTGCAAAGTCCATTTGATCCTCAAGGTTGGCAGTTCAAGCTCACCAGGAAACCCTTTGCAGGGTCGCTATGGGTCGGAACTGACTCTATGGCACTTAACAACAAGTAAAGTCCTGGTGTGGCACTGTGAGATAAAGCACTGGACTGCAAGGTCAGTTTAAACCAAGATCACTGGTTCAAACTCACCCAGCAGCTCCCCTATATAGGGCCACTATGAGTTGGACCCTACTCAGCAGCACTTAACAACAACAACAAAGTAAATCCTAAGGGCATTCTCATAATGGTGGGTTAAAGGTTGGGCTGCTAAGCCAGAGACCAGTGACTTGAACCCAACAGCCACTTCGCAGGAAAAAGATGAGGCCATCTGCTTCCAGAACGAATTACAGCCTTGTAAAGCGTATGGAGAAGTCCTACTCTATCCAGTAGGGTCGCTGAGTCAGAGTCGACTCAACGGCAGTGGATGGATGGAAAGTAAACCCTAAATGGCTAATAAGTTAGAAACATAAAATTCTAAGGCTCAGTCAAGTTCAGAAGTTCTTAAATGGTCCCAAATGTAGACAAAATGCATATCCACACGGATATAAAAGAATCCCATCATCCATAAAATGCAAATTTGAGAAGCACTTAACAGAAATAAAATACTAAGTTGCACATGGATTGCAAAGCCCTTAAAATTGTTACAGAATCACTCCCCAAAAGATATATTGCAAAATTCCAAAACTGAATAAGTTCCAAGATCCTAATAATCCAAGATACTAAAACAAGAGGTCAGAAAAAGAACAGAAAGTTTGACTGGATGCAAAATCATTCAACAGAATTGAATTTTAAGCACATTGCTCATTAGGCCAATGCCCTGCAGCCTCTAGGTGGTAACTGCTAAGTGGAGAAAATGACTACTCACAGATGTCTCTTCTTTTTCCCGCTTTCCCTTTCTTATTTTAATTGTATTCATGCATATGTATCTTTCTCTATGCATTATTCAAAATCTTTTGGGGCAGTAGGTGGCCTATACATGATAAATTATACATAAAGTCACCTTCTATCAACTCATGGGCCCATCTCTCCTTTTCCAGAGAACAGCCCATCTTCACCACCCGAGCGCATGTCTTCCAGATTGATCCCAGCACCAAGAAGAACTGGGTGCCTGCCAGCAAGCAGGCCGTCACTGTCTCCTACTTCTATGATGTCACAAGAAGCAGCTATCGGATCATCAGTGTGGATGGAGCCAAGGTACAGCCCAAACCAGCTGATTTCAACAATCCCAGTCATTTATATTTTCGTTAGAATAGTAGAAGATGCTTGAAAAATAGAGGAGAAAGAATGCACCCCAAATTTTTCCAAGTTAGCCCAGAAGTTACTGTTATAATTATACTGCTCCATAATCACATAACCTGATTTTATTTTTTCATTTAAAATTATGGCGAATGGAAAAAAAAATTAGTACATTTCCCTATTACCACATAGTCTTCATAACTAACATTTCCGTGCCTGTTTAGTATTTCCAAAAGGACCTATAATATTCTTAATTTCTCCCCATGGTTGGATATTATCTATAATAGCAAAAACATCCAATTTTTGCTGTTACAGATAATGAGCACCCTCTTTCAACAGATGTGGTCAGTTTGGGTATTTCCTTAGAATAGATTCCTAGAAGTAACATTGCGGGTCAAGATATTAACACTTTATGACTCTTGGTGTGTGCTGCCAACTTGCTTTCCAAAGCTTCCTTTCTTCCAATGTGCATGAGAATGCCAGTTTATTGCACTCTTGCCAGCAATGGATACTATAGTCTAGTTTGGGTGTTAATGAGGCATGTAGTTGAATTTTATTAAATGTCTTGAAATAGCTATTTTTATTTTCTGCTACTTTCATTTCTAGATATTTTTTTCTCATTGTTAAGAGTGGGGGGAGGGGTGGTTGTGTGCCACCCAGTTGGTTCCAACTCATAATGACACTGGTTCTGAGGCTGTAAATCTTTGAGAGCAGGGAACCTCATCTTTCTCCCATGGAGCGACTGGTAGATTTGAACTGCTGACCTTGCAGTTAGCATCCCAGCTCATAATCCATTATGCCATCAGGGTTCCTATTAAGGGAGCAGAATGCAATAGGGAGGTCAGTGGAGGCATCACTGAGACTCTAAAAAAACCAGACCTGATGCTTACTCTTTCTGTCTTCAGTTTTTGTTCATCCCGGTTGACCTTTTCACTTGGATTATCTGCTGCTGCCTGAAATGCAGTGAGTCTGGAGCCAAAGTCCTCTTTCTCCTTCAAGCCAACTGTTTGTTTTCATTTCCCAGTCACATGGATTGAAAAAAAAAAGGCAGAGTCATCATTCCTTTTCCACTGGTCAAATGAATGTGCCTTTGAAGCATCGCACCTCATCACTTCTGCTTTCTCGCAAGGCAGCACCCTTGTGTGGGGCATCTTACTTGGACCTTTATAGTAGCCGTCCATTTCCTTGTCTCCTACCTACAGTGTGCCCTACTCTGCTTCTGGATGAAGCACTCCTAGGAAGCAGGTGGTGCTAACAACACACTCTGCTGCTAACTCAAAGGTCAACCCAAGTGTGCCTTGGAGGAAAGACCTGGTGATCTACTTCTGGAAAATTAGCCAATGAGAACTCTGTGGAGCACAGTTATCCTCTGACACATAGGGAGTCAGAATCAACTCAACGACCACTTAACTAGTAGTATAGTAGGAAGAAAAGGGTTTGGGGTGGGGCAGTCGAGCTTGCTTGGTTGTAAACTCTACTTCTCCCTTCCCCAGAGACCCCCACAACCACAAACCACAGGGTGTAGAGCAGCTTTGACTTGAAGACCCCCCAGCTATAGTTCCTCATCCCTGGATGAGGCTTCCTGTTGAATAAGGAAAAATCCTCCCTTTCAGCTTATGTTCTCCGAGTATCTCCTTTATGCTCTCAAAGAATGCAGATAAAGGTGGCTTGGCCCAGTGACTCTCTTTTCCTTCCTTCTAGTTGCTATAATCCTTCTTCTCTCGGGAGGGGAGCCCAGACCTCCTTGTCTTACAGTGGCAGTGGTACTTACCAAGTTCACACTGCTGGCAAGCTCCCCACTCTTTCTGGCTGGCGAGAAGCATCTCCGTACATGATGTTGTGCAAGTAGTGGGTTGCCCGCTTCCATAGTCAGATAATAACAGCTGGTCTGTTAAGCATGTCTAAAGAGATGCTGGAATTGTTTTATTTCATCTAAGCAATGGGTGATAACACATTGCAGGGTTCTGGTGACTCTGAAATGAGACAGGAAATATGACAATGCCTGGCCCACAGCAGACAGACACTTATGTTTCTCCCCACGCCCACCCCCTGGGAGAGATGGTAATGCCACAGTGGTAATGACCATTTTTCTGTGCTTTTGAGCTGGAATCATCTGGACTCTTGCCAGGATGTTCTGCGAGAGGCGGTGAATCTAGATGACCTGCTTTCTTTTATCTATAGATTCTGTCAGCTCAACTGCCATCCTCAGAAGTCTTTGCACTTTTGTCAGTTGAGTTAGCCAAGGCTAGATTGGGCTTAAGTAGAAATAAAACTACTTTCTTAGAGAAAGTGCTTTTTAGTCCTATTAGCTGGGCTTTTAGTAATTAATTTGTCGAAGTGTCAGCCACTGTATCTTTCAGGTTGTGACAGTGCAGTGGAGTTGGAGCCAAATCAGACAGCTATAGGAAATCACATGGGTGTCAGAGGGTGGACTGAGCCCCTAGCTGCCGAACTGAGTTCTTGGTGGCTCAGTGTGGGGAATCCATCAAGTTACGGAGTCTCTGGAGCTTAGAGAGTGAGCCAGGGGACCTGAGGTCACTGATCCTGTGTCACTCAGCCACCTGGGATTCCTGGAGTCTCCTCCAGAGGACCTGCTTTACCACTGTGGCACCAGAGAAACTGATGGAACGTCCGTCTGCAAAAAGGAACTTCCTGTGAGGGAAGAGAAACCACGGGGTGTGGTAAGGTAGGGACAGGCCTTCCTGTGTAATTACTGTGGCTGGCACTTGGGGCCGGGAGATGGGGGGCACAGTTTCTATCCTGAGAACTGGGCACAGAGCACCGGACAGCACTCACAACCTCACGTCAGGCCTGCTGGACCCTCCCTTGAGCTGATGAGCATCAAATTCAAAGTCCCAGTCCAGGTCTGGCTGAGCGTTTATGCCTACAGCTGATCCACGGTCAGGCAGAGAGTGGAGAAGGACCCCAGGGCCACGTGTTCCCCAGCATGCTAGCAGCTATTGCCACTTCCTGCTTCTCTGCAGTGTCCCCTTTCCCCAGCTTCAGACCTGCTGGAATAATCCAGACAGATGGCCTTCCTGCCCATGGACTATAGGAGGACTAGGACGAAGTGGGCTGAACTGACTCTGGCATCGGGTCATCCCTATTACACACGGCTCTCGTCGCTTGCCCTGCCCACCCCCAGCCATCTCTGTGCATTCTGCTTGCTCCTGCCTGTATTCGTGAGCATCTATTCGAGTTCCATACTCATACTGGTTTCAACAGCCTGGGCTGCTGCTCCCTGCGCCAGCCACACATCGGAGATCTCACACAGTCCAGTGATGGAGATGGTCTGCAGAGCTGACCGCCCATGCAGAGGGAGTATGGCCATTTCCACCATGTTGGGAAACTCCCACTACTTGTTATAGGCCTTTGGTCCCAAATGTTGATCTGAACTGAGAGGGCCATGGTGACTTTGGGCAGGTTAGGGCCTGGGTCCCGCCTCTCTGTGCTGGCCTGGCCACATCATACCCATGACCACGATTAAATAGCGGCACTTCTGGGCCAGCTGTCCGTCTCAAGGCAGGCAGTTACAGCAGGCTGGAAGGGGAAACCGCTCCTGAATGAAGCGTAGACTGGCTTCACTAAGTTGCTGTTGGGAAAGAGACTTGGAGGTTGTTTTGAACAAAAGTCACAGCAGACTCTGACACTGAGTAAAGCGTGGCACTGTGCAGACACAGCTTCCTGGGCCGGGAAGCACTCCCACCAGCAGTTTTCACAGCTGCCATCCTGCACAGACCCAGCACTCCTCGGCCTCATCCAGACATTTGTCACACTCTGTGTGGGGATGGCACTGCTCATCATAGGAAATCGACTCAGATTCTCCTTGAAACTCTCAGGCAATTCTGTCTTCTCAGGGAAGATAGCTCGCATGTGGCCACAGATGCTGCCTGAAGACCTGAGTGGGGACACTGCGGTGCATTACCCAGCATTACTCTAACTCTAGAACTTGCTTCTTTGTTGTTGTTTTCTTCCAGTGCCCGATGCGTCAGCCCTGACTCATAGCAACAGAGAGTGTCAGAATGGAACTGTGTTGCAGAGGGTTTGTAATAGCTGACTTCTCAGCAGTACACTGTCAAGTCTTTCTTGCAAGGTGTCTCTGGGTGGACGCCAACCTCCAATCTTTCAGTTAGCAGCTGAGCACTTAGCACCACACAAGGACTCCAATTCTAGAAGTTTATGTCGATTCATAGCAGTATATGCACAGCCTAGAGACAGTGAGCTCATTCAGGACTGTACACAATGCTTGACTCATGTTTGACTACCCTGTGCTAAGTTCAGAGTGAGCATACCTCACGAATGAGTGTGGAAAGGATGGGTCATGCAGTCAAACCGGGACCCATCTCTCCAGGCATGTGGCAAGTGCACAGGGTCCACAGAAGGGGTAGGAGTACCTCCAAGGAGGAACTTAGGACCCAAACCTCAACTCTTTGCCCAAGATCAGCCCTGCTTGCAAACAAATGGGAACCACAAGAGGACATCTCCCGACTCCCCCACTTCCTGGAGCACCGCTGAGAGCCCTGCATCCCACAGCAATACAGCTAGATGATGATACATGACGAGATTTGGGACAGAACAGCCAACTCCATTCTACAGGAACGCTATTTCAGAGCATTTGGTAACTAAGTGACCACTGCACTTCATTTCCTTGCAGACTGAGCACATCCCCACCCTCCCTATGAAACTGCTGTGCCTGTGGACAAGACTTGTCTGCAGCAGGGTTTCTCCTGGGCTCTCAGGCCGGGCCTACTGTCCTTGGTTCTCAGTTATTTATGGGATCCCAGAAATCTATACTGGAAGCTAGTGGAGAGGTCACCACTTCTACAAATAGTTAGCAGCGTCTGCTGTGTAGCCAGGAAAGGCAGACACCAACATCTGAAACTCTGACTTGTTTGAGATTTTCTTTGGGGAACATAAAATGGGGACATGTTCAGGGCTTCTTCCTCCCCATAGCACTG